AGAGAGAGAGAGAGAGAGAGAGAGAGAGAGAGAGAGAGAGAGAGAGAGAGAGAGAGAGAGAGAGTAGGAGGAGGAGGAGGAGGAGGAGGAGGAGAATTGGGGCATGTTTTCTTTTTTCCTGGAATCTTCAATTGATTGAGGAATGTAGGGTCGGTGACTGAGTGGTCGGCAGTGTTTATGGCAGCTCCTTTGGCTATCGGCAATCTCTTTGCACGTGACACATAAAAAAAAGAGTTTATGAAGTTTATACTGCAGAAGCCTTTTTTTTTTTTTACACACCCTTATTGATTGCATGATGGAGATGAGAATGATTTTGTTGCAGCAATGCTGTGAAAGGATTTGGCAGAGTGCCAAATGTGTAGGATGAATGATGTGCAAAAACAAGGGTTGTCCACGTTGCCTTTCTTCAAACGATCGTAGAACTACTGTTCCATTTAAGACTGATCTCATGCCTTTCTTCAAGCGGTCAGTAGTTTCCGCGAAGTTCATTATTTTTTTGAACAAGGTCTCCGCCTGAACAACATTCACGAAAGGTTAGATATGCATGACATCATGCCCGAGACCTTGTTCGTCACGAAGAGTCAGTAGGAGGATTAGATATGCAGAGCGTCCTACTGTGTCTCTTCGTGAGGGGTTTGGTTTCTCTGAGACTGCTGTGCTAGGGATCTCTTGCTCGAGTCGAGGAGGTTTTCACTGTTCACAGGGAAGGGAACCTCACTGGGTGGTGAGAGAGAGGCGGTCTATCTTCTGCCAAAATTAGAAAGAATGACGTATAGATTGTAAGATGAAATGAAAAGCTCTGCCAGTGAGGACGTGTTAGATCTCATGTAAGATATGATGGACAAATAAGGTACTGGAGAACAACCGAGTGATATATTCTGCTTGTTATATGTGGATTCTTCAATCTTCAGAAGGCAACTTCCTCTGAACAATCACCATGTCTTTCATGCTTTTATTGTCTTGCTCAGGCACTCCTGGAGGTTGAATTGCTGTTCTGGGCCGAGAAGCTTTTGCCCCCATCATGCCTCCCCCCACCCCCGCTGCTCTGTCTCCCAGGGGCACATAGACACAGACACACGTACATGCAAGGCATGTAGAAGCACGCAACACATGCACATGCACACACAGACAAGTAGACACGGATGGACATGCACGTGCATGTAGAAACAAGCAACGCATGCACATGCACACAGGCAAGTAGACACATGCACATGCATGTGGAGGCACATGGACACATAGGTGTGCACATAGACACATGTGCACACGTGGTTGCACAGACGCACACACACATGCATGGGCACACAGACACCCACATGCCCGTACAGGCACATGGACACCGTCTGCACATGCACACAGGCGCATAGACACAAGCACATGCACGCACACTCATGGCCACAGACACACACATGCGGGCACAGAGATGCACACATACATGCGTGGTCACAGACATATATGGGTGCAGCACAGCCACAGCCATGTGCACACACATGCATGGGGGGGCACATACTCGTGCAAGCGCAAACACTTAGACATGCACACTCTTGCGGGCACATAGGCACATGCTTGCACACGGGTGACCACAGAGACACATGCACACGCACACACACGGGCACATCCACACAGAGCTGTGGACACAGAGACGCGCGCGTGCAAGCTTGTAGAGGTGTGCGCGAGCACATAACATATGCATGTGTGGGTGCATAGGCACACATGCGCATGCAGGGACATAGACACACACACACACACAAACATTTCCACATGCAGGTGCGAGCACAGAGACATGCATGTGTGGGAACGTAGGCACACACACATGTGGCTACATAGGCACACGCATGTGCCGGGACATCAGACACACACAGGGACACATGCACACACGGGCACATACACGCATACACATAGACACACACATGCACGTGTGGGCACATAGACACGCATGTGTGAGCACGTAGACACGCATGCGCAGACACATAGACACATGCACACACAGGTGAGCACAGAGACACATGCACACACATGCACATGCACAGGCACATCCACCCACAGGCATGGGCACACAGACACACGTGCAGTGACATAAACACACTCTCGAGCAGACACATAGACACACACGCATGCATTTTAGAGAAGTCTGCACCGGCGACGAGTATTTATAATCCTGTCAAGTTCATGATGCCTGTCCTGTCCTCCACAGTCCACTTCCTTCCCTACCCTTTCTTGTTCCCCAGCTCCTTACTCCCTACAGAACTCCGCTTCTTGCCTCTTTTCCTTTAACCTCTCCTTACGTGCTTAGCAAACAACATACGAATGAACATCATAAAAAGAACAGAAAGTATAAGCTGAAGATCTGAAGAAAAATGAACAGCAGTACACCTTCCCCTTCACTCTGCCTCCCTTCATAACATGCAAGTGGGCAGTTAAACCACCGGTACCTTTCCCATGTGTTGGCCGCGGGCACTGCACGCCGGCCCAAAAATCAAGACTGGCCATCGATTCTATTTATCAGCGGCCACCCTTCTGGTTCAGGCCTGTGCATTACCCGGCGTGCCTCTGAAAAAAATAGCTGGGAAAGGTACTGCTGGCTTAAGGCACACGGGGATGTGGGCAGATGCCACTTGACGGCAATCAACGTGAGCAGCCTTGTACGTGTGAGGCACAGTAAAAGGGGCGCTGCAAGAACAAATGGAAGGGGTACCCCAAGGATAACCGAAAAACTGTCTGAGGGACACTCACACTAGGCCCTCAAAGTCGCAAAATCCCAAAATGAGCAGCAAGATCTAGTCCTTTCTTTACGAGGACTCTATCTGGCCGCTCATTTTGTGATTTTGCAAGTTTGAGTGCCTAGTCTGAGTATGCTTTAATGGTAAAATTGCTTAAAAGTTGGGCTGTCTCAACTCAAGTGCTTTCATGGTCTGCAAGAGGACAAAGCTGCTTTGATTCTGAATCTACTGATCTGGGTGGACATGCACGCACGGGCGCGCACACACACACACACACACACACACTGCGAGGCAAAGTGAAAGAGGAGCTGTTGCCCCAGAGAAACCCTAGCTAAACACGGTTCAAAATGGTTCTATTATGATTCGTGCTGTCTGTTAAAGAGATAATTTTTTTTTAAGTGTTGGGCGGACTCAGTCCGGTTCTACTCATCTGGTTGGAATAGGGGTTGTTGTGGGGGAAGCTTATAACACACACACACACACACACACACACACACACACACACACACACACACACACACACATACACACAGACGCATATCCACATATACATGTGAGCACATTGACATGTGGGCACATAGACACTCAGGCACATTTACACACGTACACATAGACATAGCCACACGCGGGCATGCAGACACAGTCTGGCACAGTCATGGTCTTTCTGTGGAGTTGTGTATGGCGAACATGGACAATACACAACACGGTCTTGCTAAGCTGTTCGTTCAGGCGGATGGATGCAGCTAGGGTCGGGACCGTACTAGTGGTCATCCCAGTGGCCATCCATGGCTACGTGGGTTTGTAGCATGGGTTTTATGGATGTGTACAACTTGTTTCTGAGAAAGAAACAAGTCTGGGCATGTAGATCCAGGTGCCTGAACGACTTACTGCCATTCTTGTCAGTTGTTACAACTGACATGCAAGGTTGGTTTTGGTAAAGTCGTTCACTTTTCTCTCTCAGGCGTATCGCTAACTCTGGGCGATGTGGCGAGTCCTTATCCATTAGTCAAATGCATCTCGGGCAGACTGTATGTCCAGGTTCAACCTCCTGATGAGTTGGTGAAAGTCTGCCGAAATAATCTGGCACAGTGATATGTTTCTTTTGTGGGGCTGTGTATAGCGAACACATGATCGCCGACAATTCAATTCAAGGGTTATGCGTACAGTCACACAGACACATATCAACACACACACACACACACACACACACACACACACACACACACACACACACACACACACACACACACACACACACACACAGACATGTATGCATTGCATGCTTAAGTACACAGGTGCGTCAGGCCGCACATCTTTCAGAATACAACAAGGAAACAGCTGTTTCATTAAAAAATATTACGTTTATCAAAACGGTATTCTTTAGTGTATCACACAAGAATGTTGATAGATGATTTTAAGGTAAGGCCGTTTCAAATTTGGATCCACATGTCCGGGTGGAAGAGGGGTTGTTCTAGTGAGAATCCACAACACACACATCACATGCGCACAGACGCGCACTCCCACAGTGGCCCCGTCCCTTCCGCCCACCTCCCGCTGTGAGTGCATGCACGCGCCGGGTGAGTCCATCGTCGTCGACCTTCTTCCATGTCGTATTCGCCGTCGTACACATTTCCGCCGGGAGGACGACATCTAAAGAAAGGTGGCAGCTTCGTCGGACATCTTTAGTTTGTTGGTTGGATGGGGAAGGAGGACACATACGGCAGTGGAGAGACGTCGTCCGTGAGGAGCTCGCGGCTATGGAGATTGATGGCGTGCGTGTGTCACCGCTACTCGCTGCTGTTCGACAACTGGAAGCTCAGATCGAGTTGTGCATTGGCATCGTTGTCGCACAGCCCCTTGTTCAACATTGACATGTAAGACCATGAGGTCTCCGCCTGCCTGCCACCGAAGGACTGGCTCCCCGCCCAAACCTGCGTGGAACCGATCCCCAATGGCACAGCTGATGACCTCAGGTCTTCATGCTCGTCATCCGTGGGAGGCAGAGGAATGCTCGTCATCCGTGGGCGGCAGAGGAATTTAATGCGAAGGCAGGTGAGCATACAACATTGGGTTGTATGCTTGCTTGCCCACAGACCCTGCAGTGCGCTGCCGATTGCTCAATCCTGGTGCCGTGCCTGCTGGTCTGCCGGTCGTC